ACATACCCGCACTCCTCCACCATGACGGCGGTGATGTCGTCGTCGTCAACACAGGGGGCGTCAGGGTCGATACAGGCGTTGTAATTTCGGCAAGCCCAGTCGTCGTCGTCGTCCCATGGGCTCTGGCACATGAGTGAGCAGATACAGACAAAAGACTTGTTCAGGGTTGAAGAAGGCGGACTGGAGGGGAGGTCAGGGGCCAAGGCTAACATAGGCAGGACTCGTCCTAGCAATAGCAGCAGGAACTTGTGTTTTCAAAGAGTTCGCGAGGACCGGGGAGAAGGGTAGGGGGGCGTACTCATGTTTCGCATGCCTTGATTGCAATTTTTCCTTTTTGTCTTCACTTCAAATCAGCGCTCACGGCACCAGTGCCGTTTACTCCAACCCGTGGTCACACAGAAGAGCCCCTCTCTACCCTTCCTCCTGCGGTACTTTGCCTTCGATCTTTAATGCGAGAAGAGTTCAGCACTCTCTTCCCACAGAGTACACACAAACTAGCGCCATCCACTCGGCCAGGAGCGGGAGCGAGAGAAAAACTCTCTTTGCAAGAAAAGCTCGCTTACGCCGGGATTCGAACCCCTGACCTGACCTCTAGAAGGTTTCGAGGTTACCAACTAGACCACCGGCAATGTAGCCCGTTGAATACGCGCGTCCTCGAGAGGATGGAGCATTGTTCTCACGAATCATCAGCGAGAACGTTCGGGGGCGGAGGGGTTACAGGCGTCCTTTTCTCGGAAACCGACGCCAGTAAGTACAGAACATATACAAGCGCTACGACAAAGTTGCAAGCTTCATCTTGATAGGTGGCAACTATAGTATCGGCTTTCTTTCTGCAGACCCTACTGCTACGGAAAAGTGTGTCCCTTTTATGTGCATCACCTGACACGTGCGAAGGCAGAACTGCAAACGTCTATCGCGTATAGACTAAGGGATTCTTCAGAATTGAGATGGGGTATTCGGAGCTGAGAATTGCGTGTATCTATCAAGGCCACAAAGGGTCCAAACCGTACATTCTTCGGACCTCCCACGTGCTTTTCGATGAACTCACCACACACGTGCACTCGCAGCAGTCGCCGCCGTCGTAACCTGAGGCAAGGAGGCACGCCAACGATCAAGCAGGGATGAGGACATTGTTTGATGTACACATGTACGGCGAAGAAATCGGAAATGACCCGTATGCATAGGTGTGTGACTTCCTTTGGTCCAAGACCCGCAACCCATCAGAGTGAAGAAAGTCTCACAGGTTTGCTAGACGTCCGGTTGACGGTGTGAGACCAACCAGAAACTAAAAATCCGCTGACGGGATTTCCAACA